TATATCATTTTTATTACTGTGTGCCATCAATTTTATGTTATACCCGTACACAGGTATGCTTTTGCTCATCATCATTGACGAGATATCAGCTAGACCTGTAAACTACTGGATAAAAGAATGAAATCTTCAGGAAAATGATTGTTTACAGCTAGAAGGAACCCATCACCTTTCAGACAAGCATGTCATAGGTACTGCTAAACTACTGTCAAAACAATTCCCAGACATGCCAATGATTCAGTCGTGTTTGTATACTCAGAAACTAAGTCTCATTCAGCTGGCTACAAAAGATTCATTATTTTTCCACAACTTTGTGGACCATTGGGTTACTAGTCATTTTATGGATGGCATTGCTATTCTTTATGACTCCTTGTACACAGAGATTATTCATTCAGAGTTAAAAAAGCAGCTCATTGCCCTCTATGGATCTGCTATGGTAAAAGTACCGTGGTTGGTGAAGCAAAAGGTGATAAGGATTGTGCCTGCTTTGTAGTAGCATACGCAGTATCTATTCTTTATGGAGATGATCCTGCTAACAATATATTCGATCAGTCACACATGGGACAACACATGATTGAATGTCTCAAAAACATATTTTACATGCCATTCCCATCTATGACATGAAAATCAAGATGCAATGTATCAGAATATGTTACCCAACTACATTGATTATTACAAAGAAGTTAACAAATGTATGTTATTTAATGTTCAAAGTTATTGTATTGGTCTATGTAGCTAATTATACTTGCAAAATGCATGGTGGAATGCTAAAGGTGACATGATAAATGTTGCGTAGCTATCCCATATACAGGAAATTTTGGAGGGAGTTAAATTCGACAAATAACTATAGTTTGGTAATTGGCAAATTTGTGGTCACATACCATTGAGCATGCATATAATGGCTTCAAATGGTAGATTTTAATTTGGATTTTTGCTATCAAAATGCCAAGTTCACCAAATTCAATTCCCTCCAAAATTTTCCACTACAGTATATGAGGGAAACAAAGTGCTGTTACATTATGAAAAAAATTGCAGAGGGCACAAATTCTTTCCCATAATATTATAGAGACAAAATAGTGCAGCAAGCATTAATTCTTTCCTTAAGTATTGTATGAACAAAATAGCTCAGCAGGCACTAATTCTTCCCTATAG